TGGTCTCGATCTCTGCGACTGTGATCCCGCCCTCTGGCCTCCCCCAAAAAAGTCTGGATACAGGCCTGAGCCACCGCGCCCGGGCCCATGTCGGGGTTCCTGTTGCTTCTGTAAGCGTTTGGGACTCGGCCTGCGCTCCTCCTGGTTTCTGGGAAAGGGGGGGGGGGCGGTCAGATACCAGATCTTAGGAACGCGGAAGCATCAATGACTGCCCATTGGTTTGCTTGTTGCCTCCGCAGGAGCCTCGCGTCCAAACCAACCGGCCTTGATTCAGTTTTCTTGAGCGGAGCAGTTGTCAGCCCATGGCCCAGCACGGTGGGTCTCGCCCTGTTCTCCGGGGGTCTAATGAACGTGAATGGCGCAGCCAGACGCATGTCCGTGTGGCCGTGAGAGCCTGCCGTCCGTGTCCTGGTGGGCCAGTGGTGTGCGTGTTTGGCGTGCTGTGCGGTCCTGTAGCGCGAGGTGTGGACACCCGTGGCGTCCGCTGCCATGCCCCTGTGCATCTCTCTGGTTGCTCGGCCTGGTGTCTGGCTGTAAAATGGGGACTGCAAGCTGTGAGCCCCTCTAGAAACCGGTGCTGGCTGGGACTTTCCGGGGCGCAAGGCACAGTGCCTAGCTGTCCGTGTCTCCAGCAACAGCCGAGCCTTTGGGCTCTCCCAGGCTCAGCAAACACACCCAGCCTTCCTGCTGGCTGGCCCTTTGCTCCTCACTACCCCACAGCAGCCCGGCCACGTGGCCAAGCCCTGCATCGGGTTTGGCCGCCCGCATGCTCTCGTGGCCTCCTGCCCGTCCGTCTGGTCATAATACCCCTTGAAGGGTGGACACTCCGATGTGCCTTGCCCGCAACATGCTCCCCAGCGCAGAGACCTGGAACCAGCAGACCCCTCAGAAATGTCATTGTTCGGTGCCCCCCTCAGCCCTGTAATCCCCAGCAACTTTGGGAGCCGAGACGGTGGATCACAGCAGGCAGATCGAGACATCCTGGCCCTAACACGGTAAAACCCCGCCTCTACTAAAAAAATTACAGAATAATAGCGCAGGAGTGGGGCGCTTGTATGTCAGTACCCGGAGGCGAGGGCAGGAGAATGGCCGTGGACCCGGGAGGCAAGCCTTGCCAGTCGAGCTGAGATCCGCCACTGCACTCCAGGGCCCTGGGCGGCCAGAGCGAGACTATGCCGTCTCAAAAAAAAAAAAAAAAAAAACGAAAATGTCAGTGTTGAGTGAACAAACCACCCGGCCGGTGTTTGATGCGAGTTAAGCAAAGTCAAATCTCAAACAGAGGTGATGAGTGGGGACGCGCAGTGAGCATTACCTCCAAAGTCTCTAACAAGGAAACAGCCATTTCTGAGACTTGCCCCAGCCAAGAAGCCGCCCTCGCTATAAACTTCGGAAATCTTCACCAAGAGCTCCCAATTTCATCCTAAAAATCGCACTGATTTCACTTTGTAATGTACTTAAGCTTGTTTTAAGTATTGAAAACAGCTGATGTTTATTATTCTTTCCTAGAGGAAGTCTCAGCTCTGTCACTCGCGCGCCAGGGATGCATGGTGGCGCATCCTCAGCCTCAACTGCAACCTTCCCACCTCCCGGGTATCAAGCGATTCTCTCTGCCTCACGCCCTCCCTGATAGCGCTGAATTCAACGGCCGCCACCCGCTACGGGGCACAACACACTGGCCTAATTTTGGTATTCTGGTAAGACAGGGCGTCTCCACACCCATTTAGTCACAGCTGTCTGCAAAACTCCTGACCTCAGGTGACTGCCCACGCCTCCAAAGTCTGGGGATTGGCAGGTGTGACACCGCAGCCCTCTGCCCCTGAACAATCACTTTTTAATAACTGCCTGGTCAGGGTCAAGCCGTTTATCACTGCCTCTCGCCAAGCCCCGCCCCCTTTCTGGGCAGGGTGATGGGGACTGTGTCTCAAGTGCCCTCCGCAGCCCAGTCCTTCTCTCCCCCACTGTTCCGCTGCCCGACCCTGCACACTGCCCCTGTCCTGCAGAAGAGAAGCAAGCCCCAGTTTGGGAAGGCTGGTAATGCCCACAGTCGGTCACCAGCGTTGTGAAAACCAGCTTTGGCTGTTTGGAAGCCAGCTGGCCTGTGGAACACTGGAAAAACAACTCCCCATCGCACAGGAAGCAGTCTCCTGTCGCTCGGGAGCATAGAAGCACAGCCACCAGGGCGCCTGTTTGAGGCAAAGGCTCTCCAAATAACCTTGCCCCTCCCCTGTGCCCAATACCCTGGTCTTCGCTAGGGCTCTCAACAGTCGGGGAAAACTGAGTCGCACATGGGCCCGGCAGGGCCCGACCTTGGAGGGCCCAGGCACCCCAAGTCAGCAACATTCTCATCCTCCCTGGCCGGTGGATT